GATAGATGACGTTCGGGGCCATGCGAATTCGCCGTATGTCTCCAGGAGTACATCGATGAATCACGTCTATTCCGAGTGGTGGAATAAACTTCGGGGCGCGATCGTCTTTGAGACAGTCCAGAGACAGTCCGAGATCGCGTTTCGACAAGCGGGATATCGCGCATGTAAGGAGCACAGATTCGCGAACACATCTCAACGATCAAAGTTGCTAACACGACTCCGTCGAATCTGTCAGGTCTTCCTCTATGCTGTGGAAATTGCGCGCGCGTGCTTAAAATATGGGTTCGCTTTCCCCGTTCAGATTCCCCCGGGAATCGATGCTGATCGCCGTTTGTATTTCATTATGTCTCACGGTTATTCAGAAGCATATCGCGGACGAGGATCGCCGATAAAACGGGGCAGATAATAGAGAAACGCGTTATTACCCGTAAAACCCGTCGCGGAAAATGGATACATTTCAGCTTTGTGTTTCTTTGAAATTATCACAAATAATTACGGAAGATACGTATTAAATATGCATCTTTTCCTTTGGTAAAAATTTAATTTAGTAAAATTTTACTAACGGACTACTACAAATGTAATCGTGAAAAATATTTGGATATCATGTAAAAGTACATAAAATATTCTAATTAAATTTTTCTTAAAAGAAAGATCGACCGCGATAATAAAATGCGTAGACGAAAGGCAGTGTGAGGAATCTAGGGTATTTGAAATACGTAAGCTTTCTATCTTTTAATTACATTAATCTATTTACTGCGCGAAAGAAAAATGCAAGTCTTGTACCTTCTTTTGTATATACAGCCGTTTATATCTTATTTCCGCGCTTTGTTATACATTTTATGATTTAATTAGTTAATGAGCAAATTCCAACGTCGTGAAGCTTTTCGGAGGCGATAAATTGTTGCGCGCACGGGAAAATAGCGTTCGGAAAATTTTGCCGGCTTTAATTAATTAACAACCGGACTTCCGTGTCGCGAGGCTTTCAGCCGCGCAGTTGCTTCTATAATACGCCGAATCTCATTATCGTATAAACACGCGATTGCACTTGGGAATTTACGCGGTAAAATATGTACTGTTTGAGTCGCATGAAATGGCTAGCCTTGATTAATTTTAATTGCCCGCGATCTAACAGATGTCATGGAATATCCTGAAAACGTGCGTGTCCGCTTTGTGCTTTATAAAAAAAACGATGAAGAATAATTATTTCCAAAGGCAGCCGCAGAGAGGAAAAAAAAAGTCGGCCCATTTATTCCGCGACACGTAAAATAATCCTCTTTTAAAAAGCTCGTTTTATTTATTTTAATAGCACTCGATTTAATCAATTTGAAAAGGACTCGCGCAATGTTCCATTTGCGGCATAACACTTCGTAAAATTGCGTTTGCGCTTTATACATCGAAAGACAGATATTTTTTTGGATATTTTATCCTATATAAAACGCGCGCGAAACAGGCGTATATTGTATCTATCGTCTATCGCGTGCAATTTAAGCCATTAATACAATTTCTATCCTGTACTCCGGAAAATTTCATTGATTATCGCGTTGTGCGAGAGCAACAAAATATTTTTGTACACACACACACACACACACACACACACACACACACGTGCTCATCTGGCGCGTGCACAATATTCCAAAAAAATTTGATTTGTTTATTTTAATTGTTCGCGATTTAACCGATTTATATACAATTTCAACGTCGCATGACAGGTCATAAAATTTCGCTTGAAAATAGCATCTCTCCGCTTTTACGTTTTCGAGGAAACGTAAAAGCCGATCTCGTCGAAGGGTGAGATAAACGCGTTTCGAGCACGTGATAAAGTCACCAATGCAAACCAACTCGACCTCGCAACGGCATAAGAAATTATGATGCTAATGCAGCGAGATACTGCACCCGCGAATGCGTTCACGTCCCTTGCACTTTTCTCTAACTTTCAGCGGAATAATAGGATGGCTTTCCCACGATTTTCCGGATTTATTCCGTAAATCGGGCACGATTCTGTTCCCAGTTCGTCGTACCAGAAAGAAATCTACCTAACGATATACAAAATTTATATACACGATTTTCTTCTTCATAAAAATTATAAAAATATTCAGATCATATGACAAATTCTTCTATATTTCTCTTCACTTTTCTTCACTTCACTTCCCTTTATTATAGCGATTCCCATGTTAGATTTCACCGTGTACATAACTTGATTTGCGGCATTTGCGTTTTCGCGCGAGATACGCTGGGAAAGCTCCCATTAATTCTTACTCCTTCTGGCGATATTACATTACGTTTGGAATTCGTCATCGATATTTGCGGTCGGATCGTAGTTGCGCACGAAACAATCCTTTCGATCCGGATCGATGACAATGCCAATACCTACGAATTTCGAGTCTTTCCATGCCAATTGAGTGAAATTACACACGTATCTCAAATTTCTCGGTCGCAACGCCCCGTAACTGTAATACCTGCTCTCTTAATAGTTACATACCAAAACAGTTAATGAATCGAGTATTGCGGAAAGAAGACGATTCGATACTTTTTACATACACACATGCATTAAAAAATTCTTTCTTACAGAGGTATATAATATTATTCTTTAATACATGACGTAATTGTTAATTTTTTAATTAAAGTAAAAATTATTATTTTTATGAAATGCACAATCTAGGAAAAATTGCAAATGTTTTTCTTCTTTTTTATATATTTCACAGTTTTATTTGAAAAATTACAGAAATTCTTTTTTTTTTATATTTTAATAATTGTAATACTAGAAATAACTTTTTCCATGCACTATTACACCAATGCAATGGGTTATTGCAAATAATCCGATCTATGTTCAAGGTTTCTTTTATTTACGTTACTTTCCTACATACCAATATCTATTGTACAAAATTGTAACCAATATTCCACGGATTCTTCGGGCTGCATTTTCCAATTCAGATCTCCATCGAAACCAACACATACGGTTTCATTGATTAAGGAGCTTTCCTGCTGCTCTTTTTCTTTCTTTCAACAAACTCTTCGCCAGTTGTGCTGAATAATCATTTAATTTTAAATTTCTATACATAAATAAGTTACATTATCTTGAATAATAATAATTTTTTCCCAATATTATTCATTGCTACATTATAAAATACATGCAACGAATACATGACGTAGGTACGTCCATAAACCGCGGACTCTTGGACAAATAATTCGCGGCAGATAAAAGAAGCTTTTACCTTCCTATTTATACCGCAGCAAAGTAAATAGCTCAATGTTGACTGCGTCTTTAGAATCTTTAGAACTGAATCTTTAGACTGAATCTTTAGAACGGTTTTTAATTTACATGAATAATTTATTTCTTATTTTAGAAAAAATTTCTCCATATTTATTTATAGAAAAAGAAAATTTCATTAATTTAGATTAATTGATTCACGTCAATTCACGTCAGCTTATTATATCTAGACAACATAATTGACATTTGGCTTCTATATGAAAATATAATATTTTTGTAAAGCATAAAATATATAATGTAAAACTACAATCCTTCTTCACACTTTGCGTTAAGATATTTATGTCTGCAGACTATTTATCGCTTATATATAGATATTTGAATCGGAGTGAACAGTTATAGCAGTTATAACTGTAATGAAGCTTAAATATAATCGTCGGTGTATTTGTCTGCTTCTAAAGCATATAGAAAGAGCATATAGAAGACGAGAAATTTTGGTTTATTGAAAGCAAGCTTCCATATATGATATCAAAAATATTAGGAATAAAAATAGAACGTTTATTGAAAGCAAACTTTCATATACGATTCCAAAAATATTAGGAATGAAAATAGAACATGCAAAACATGTAAACGATATTTTTAGTAGCGTATTTGTTTTTTTACACGTCGCATATATATATATATATATATATATATATATATATATATATATATATATATATATAAATAATGCGCCAAATTTACATTAATAATAGTGATAATTGGACACGTTTATTCACGCCCACTTGCCATTTGCATAATCGATATCGCAATGTATTTAGGTTTAATGCAGAATTGCATTTCCCGCTTGTCAAACCCCGTGCCGGGGTGGCCTGGCTGTGTGTTCTCAGGTGCGCAGGGGGTTGCACAGGCTGCAGGACGCGCTGGCCCTGGTGGAGAAAAATACATTAGGCCTACAAACAAACTGCGCGTCGGTCGCCGAAGAGGTGGACGAGATTTATCGGAGGCTGAGCAAGGCTTTGAAAGACCGCACGGAACATCTGCGTAACGAGGTCGATCGATACCTCGGCACCGAGCTCAGAGGCCTGATTCAACTCAAAGAGAATCTCGAATTGGAAATCGCGAATATCCAGAGCAACTGCGATCTGGCGGAGGCGCACATAAACGAAAACGTGCCGTGGGACGACGCCGAGCTCCTGGACACAAAGGAACTCTTTCTGCGTACGGTGGAATTTATCAGGTTTGTCGTCGTGTAATCTCTCTTTTCTTTTCGACGCTCGCTCATTAAATCCACGGCCGAGATCTCCGCACGCCGTATCCTTATACGATTTATTATCGGCTATCTATTCTACGGCTTTCCTCCCTTTTTTTTTATGGGCCAGAAAGAAATCATTAAATCAAACGGCTCCCTCTTCCCCGCGAGCTATTTTATTTCAATTTCGGATTCCGATCGAAGTGACGCTTTGCCTTAATTCAATCTATTCTATTTTGTCGGTTTTTAATAGCGCCCACGTTAATTCAACAATTATCACAGCTGTTTTCTTTCTAACGGAATTGTTTATTATAGTTATGTTTAAATAAAGCAAGGAAAAATCGTATTTATCGTACCTATTAGTAAAAAAATATTTGTTTTTTTATTACACAAAATAATATTTTCTATTTATCTATAAAGGAGAAATCGTTGAAAAATAGATAGCCTGTCTCTCAAGCATTCTGCGACGTGCTAAGTAAAATCTCGAAGGTAATGATACGTAATAAAAAAGTTCGTAATTTAAACGCTATCGAAATGAATATGCTGATATTGGCAACGACCATATGAATTCCAGCCGAGGTTTGTGATAATAGCATCGCGAATGTAGCGGAAATCCGGGGTTAGCTTCGTAATGTAATTAACGTTCAACATTACCACGCACGTCATTATGAAATATGTAACGCGCACAAAACCTGCCGTAAATTACAAACGCAAATCGTGCCGCATAACAAAATTATACGTTCATTAACTCAAGTATAACAATCGTGTTAAGTAAATGACAAAACATCGAAGGGCGGTATATTCCGATCGCATGAAAATAGCGATTGTGCCGCAATACTTTGATAAGATAATACGCTTCATCAGCAATTAACATTGTCGAATTAGCATTGTAATGAATTTTAAAAGCACGTGTTATGCATCTATGGAAATCGCACGTATGCTAAATCAGAACGTAAAGTTGTGCAATCCTTTCTGATACATTATTCAAAATGAAAATGTTGCCGCGCAATGTCGAAATTCTAATTTAGTCAAATAAATACACCTGGCATTATGTGAATAGTATATCGTTAGTCATTTAATTTCAATTTTTTAAATTACTTTTATTTATAACATCGATATATACGAAGCGAAAAACAATCGTGTGCTATTCACTCATTTTATTAAAAAAAAAAAAAATTTACTAATATAATAATACAATGTAATAATATTACAAAATAAAAGAGATTGATATTTCTATCATAATCTCTTTCAACTTTACGCGGCACGATCCGCGTCCATAAAGTGTGTAAGTATGATTATTATCGATTTTGCAAGGCTCGATTCATCCGGTTTAGCGATCTGTCATATCTCTCAGCGAATGAAGATGGACGATTGTTCTTTGCAGGAACTTCGAATACGAGGCGGGGGATTACAATCGGCGAGTCCGCTTCGTGATGGCGCACGATCCGAATCAGCTTGTCCTTCACGTGGCGGGTTATGGTGAATTGAACATTAAACCGGAAAGCGGAAGCGGTGGATTGCTGGGGAGCTCCAGCAGTTTAGCCCCACCGGTGGGTTCGCCCGGTCTTATGAGAAGCAAGAGCGATCACCGTCTCGCCTCGCAATACAGGCAGCAGGAGGAGGAACGATTAGCCAGGAATCGATATGTTCCCGAATACGAGTAACTATTGCTACTTTTTACGTCTCTCATCTCGAGTGCCCCGATATCCGAGCATCATCCCCCCTCCCCCTTCCCCCGAGATTCATGTGAAAAATCAATTGCTTTTATATCGCTGTTCTAAACATCGCGAACCGTTTGTCTGCGGCGAGCGCACGACTCAAATCTCATCATATCATTTCTGAGCGCTATTATTTTCTGATATTGATTTGCAAAAGAATATTTCGAGAGGATTTTACGTGGTTGTTTGTTGTACTTTTTGTTATACACTCCCTGCTTTTTGATATTACGTCGGTTTATACGTCGGTTTATAAAATGATATAAATTTTTCTGAGAGTAATATCGTACACGTTTGTACCTCATAGAAGTTTGGGGAAACAGAACGAAATAGAATCGATTAGAGTATAAAATTTGATACAAGATAGAAATTTTTTTTAAAAAAGCTACTTACATAAATGTCGACTTTTAGATCAATAACAGTCTAAGCAGATAATATCATCAAAAATATATCTTCGTACGACGAGACCATTTCTTTTGCCATTTATCAGTGAGATCAATTTACCTCAAGCCGGTTAAAAACTGCAACGCGGTCAACAGAGACGACAACATGTCCTTGGATCGCTGGACGACCCAAGATCGAGCGCTACTCCTTAATTTATGGCGCCGAGATTTCAGTCTGTTTTCGAAACGATAAATCAGCCATCGCGAAATTTCGCAATCTTATTTACGGGGCGAGATGTGCCGCGCCGTAAAATTACCATGAACAATTTGCGACTCCGTACAATTGTGCCCGATATATATATATACGTCTTCGGAAAGCGAATCGTGAGATAAAAAAAGTATTTCCGAGCACGCGCGACGTTTCTTGATTGTTTATTGCTACGAAGGTGTAACAAGATTAGACCGATAATAGGAATGCCGTGGCTTTTTACTGCGAGGCGCTAGCTAATGGAACGTATTAATATTCCGTTCGCGTAGCAGGTATGCCATCAGATCGGCGCAACGATGATTGCTATGTGCTTAGCAAGTGTTTCTCCGTAAGTCCGGAAGAGACATATTTACGATCTAATCAAGCCGAATGAATTAAGCGAACGATCTCTTTAATCAGATCTATGCCTCTTTCAAATTGCTCTTGCAATTTTGTTGAACATATCGACTTTTTTCTCGGATTTTAATTTTGCTAGCAATTCTTATGCTAGCAATTCTTATGCTTTCTACAATGTTAATTACTTTCTAAATTATCACTTTTATATATGTTTCTTTTCTTATATATTTTATAAAAAAATAACTTCTTCTTACAAAAGTAATTGTTGTTATTATCAGAATTTTAATGATGGTTGCGATATAGAAAAAGAATGTTACATTTTAATTCTCACACATCACACACGTGTGCACGCGCTTTAACATTTAATATTTGATCAGAAATATATTTTAGCAGAAAATAATTTTAATTGACGATCAGTATTCACCTCAAAAAGATTGCACTGAAACGATCTGTGATATTTCTATATTTCAACATGCTGAATTTTTCCGTGTACATTATACAAAGAGGTCTGCTAAAAAAATTGTATTGCATTTAACGGTTTCGAAGCACTGTCAAAGAAAACTGCAAGTTTTCTAAAATACCTCACATATTTATTCTGACACAAGTTATAAATACGCTTTTGGCATTTTATTCTTATTGCCTTCTCATATTCTTTTCTTCCCTCTTTCTCTGTATTTCCCTCTCTCTTTCTCCCTTCCTTTTACCGCGACTCAAAGGTACCTTAGCGTCCTGCCTAAGCATTGGCTTTAATTGCTGCCTGTTTCGCACAATGCCGGTCGTTAGAGCCTTTCGGGCCGTTTTATTAAGCGGCCTCGTCAAAATGTAAATTAAATGCTTTAGGTACGCACGAGCACGTACCTTTTAGTAATTAACGCTCGTACACTGCGAAGACCTACTTCACATGCGGGCGGCCTCCCTGCCCTCCGTGTCGCCTGTATTTCGTTTGTTATATAATTACGGCATTCGTGATCGTTTTGTACGATTATTAGAGGAAATATCATTATTTGTCGTGAAAATCTCATCAATTTGTCGGTCGCGCATTCGAATCAGATATCGCACGAATATAAATGAATCTCTCGCGCGATGCATTTCCACCGTCGTCCGCGAAACGTGCGCACGCCGCGGTGTTTATTTTTGACACTTGCCTTGTGATATTCGAGTGAAAATTCGATTACTCGTGCTTTTTTCACAATACGTTCTGAAAATCGCGCGTTCCAATCGTTTCTCTTTTTGCGTCGCGTGAAAAGCTAAAATGTACAAACGCCTGTTATTGCCGTCGCAATTTCTGGCATGTGTTCTTTCTGACCAGCGTTTTGGAGCGTGACAACGCCTGATATCATATCACGGAAATGTAGCTAAATGGTTAAGTGCTTAAAATCGATAATGCCCGATAATACTGCAAGTAGTGCAAATGCAGATAGACGAATTAAAAAATCCAGATATTCTATGTACAAATATGAATAATTGTAACGAATATAAAAGATTTTATATATATATGTGTGTGTGTGTGTGTGTGTGTGTGTGTGTGTGTGTGTGTGTGTGTTGTTTTATTAAGCATACTTAGAGTCACATATTAATTTATAAATTTAAAATGCAATTTTGATGTTTTAATTATTTGCAATTAAAAGGCGCAAAACATTAATAACAAAACATTTTATGTAAATGTGTAAATCTTCTTCGATATGATAACATAATGATACAAATCAAAATTTTAAAGTAACCACTGTTTGCCGATGGATTCTTAAAACTTTTATTTAAAAATGCAAGACGCCAACTTTTTTAATAACTGTATCCCTTAGAAAGCAGTCATCTCAGAAAACTCGCATCTAATTATTTATCTTTGACCATCCACTTCGAACGGATTGCAGTTTGTGAACAAGGTTACTTCTCACAGAGGATTTCGCGGAACGCGATATTGCAATTCCTCCGACGAATTGCTGACGTTTCAAACTGATTTTAATTAAAAGACTGACGCGTATTTTGATTTTTTAATAGTTTTCAATGAAGATCATTATTATATAGACTAAACATATATCGTGTCTCAAAGTCGATTTGTTTATTGATTTTTTTGCAATGCAAACAAATCAATTGCCACGTAATTTGTACATGAATCAATTAGAGCATTATCTTTTTCCGACTTACTGATCATAAAAGAAATTAAAAGGAAAAAGTAAATAACATACAATTTTTTATTATAATAACAAACAAATAATTTTAATTACAACGATGCACATTTAATAAATACAAAACTTTTTGGTTTGCAAAAATTAAATATGTTATTTAATTTTAATTTTTTATTGAGTTATTTTTGATAAATCGATAAACATATATATATTTTATTGCTATTATAATTTATTTGAATTAAAATTTATAGAATACTCAATTAAAATTCAGTTTTCAGCTCACAGTTAATTAAAATAATTATTACATGTATATTTTTTTTCAATTAAAATAGAATATTATCCGTGGCTGTTGTTGACGGTATTCTTGTTGGCAGAATTCTTTGATGTTTAAAGGATTAAAATAGGGGTGAAAATTTGGTAGGACCTATCAACGAACTTCGGGGGAATTTCGGAGGAGATGATATGGGAATAGAAGATGAAGATCCCCTAATATCATTTCATCCTGTCATCGGCAATCCTCCAGAATGTCCTCTCGAATCGAACTGAGATAATCTGACTATAAAGCAGATCGCGTTTCAGTGTAGGTAGGGCTTGTCATTGACCTCCCCCTTGCCATAATTTCAAGTGACGTATATCAGAGACACGTGTTCTTGCCTGAGATCTGCATAGAAATGATAAGTCATTATTTGACTTCAAGAAAAAAAGGAGACATTCTTTTTTATATTCACGCCAGTGTGTCTGATTTTTGATCGACTTGAACTACTTACACTGTTACTTCGATAATATTCATTATAAAGCAATTACATCTTGAAATCTCTTCTCTGTCTTCTAATCTAATGTTAAATAAGATGACAACACTAATATTATTTATCAAACCTTTTTATTCAGCTAGCACATTAATCGAGCAACGTCTATTAATAATTAATATAATAACATTTCATTCTAGATGCGTTTCGATCATTTTCGTCCCAAAGCGTTATTAATTAATTACTGATAAAAATTTTTAATGTAAAATTTGACAGTTTTTGAAGTAATAAAAGAAATTATTCATATAATTTATTTAAATTTGCGGATTATCAATGGCGTAATAAGAAATCACCGACAGTGCTTCGATTGATTTTATCATTGTTCCAAAGTGTTATTAACTAATTACTTGACGAAAATTTTTAATGTAAAATTTAACATAAAAGCTCGTCTTTTGCGTAATAGAAAAGATCTAGGACTATAATTCATATAATTCGTCTGCAATTCGTGAGTTGTTAATGGCATAAGGAGAAATCACTGTCGATGATTTCTCCAAATCCTGGACTTCCACGACAACGATCCTAATTAATCGGCGTCGTCGTTGTACGCGTTGTGTATGTGTTGGTGTGCGTACATGTGTATCAGGTACGACGCCCCGGAGTACGAGGTGCCCAGGAACAAATCCAGGTATAGGAGCCGGTTTATGCGGCATCGGGACGGCGACGATTCCGACGGTGACTCGAGGTCGACGGTGAGATTCACATCGGCGCCGCAGGAATCGTCCGGCCTACGGGAGCGCGTTCTGGACACGGAGGACGCTGCGCGCGGTCCCCTGTCCGGTATATTTCGCCTGACGGACTCGCCGCGGGTCATGAAGAAGCTGCAGGAGTGCGAGCGAGCCGGCAAGAGGAAGAAGGAGGAGCCGGCTAGTCAGCCCGCGCCGCAACCACCTCAACCACCTAAACCGCAGGTTAGAACAGCACGCTTTTGATAGCCTAGACGATAGAGATCCTCAAAGCTAAAGTGGGTCAAGGCTCTCGGAAAATTTCAGATACTCGGATACGCCCCCGTGTCTGAAAATTGATCTCAAATTTCCGCAGATGATACCTTACTGATTGAAAGATCCCGATCTGCTTTAGCTCTGAACCGTTCGTTAAACTTTTGAAGCTGTTCAGTGGTATATATGACGCATCATCCTCTTAAAAAACACGCCCGTGCGCGGTAACCGCAACCGTGAAAAGTATACGAATTTAATATCTAGATCGGATTAAATAGTGAAGAAGAGTTAATTGCTACCTAACTTCGATCGAAGTATAATATTATTCGTTTGCACGAATTTAATGCGGTGGTTCGTTAACAAGAGTTTGAAAATAATATAATTGCCGTGCTTGGTAAGTATATATTCTACATATTTCTTTATTATTCTATGATAAATAATTAATAAATAGTCTGAATAAATTGCCTTAAATAAATAAAAAATCGATACATCAAGATTACTGTTGATAAATATTTAAGATTATAATATCATTTTATTTGGACGGTTCAACGCGATCTTGATAATCCGAAAATAAAATATAATATATAACGCGCGCCTTTTAGAATAAAAAATTATTATGTATCATAAATATATACGGGTTGCGACGTTAAATAAAAATTTAAGGTGACAGGACATAATCCAGACACATTTGCTATATGCATACGAAATATATTTTATGCTATATATGAATTCTATATAAAGCCTCTCTCAACCCTTCGTATATAAGCCATCTTAGGTCGTTCAGTTTTTATATTGGGATATCGATCTGTCTCCCTCGACGCCAACTTCTATAAACATCCGCTGTTATGAGGTTTCGCATTAAAAACGTGACTGTCCCTAGCACAATGCCATTATTTCGGTAATGTGTACTCTGGCCGAAAAATCTCTGCAAAATTATAGCAACAAAAATAACGCTAAAAAATATAATAAAATATATAAAGTGGTTATTGATGAATATAATACTGATACACGGTCTGGTTTCGTGTGGCAACAGCAATTTTATAAAAATTTGCATCAATAGATTCGTACCAATCGACAAATAATTCTCGACGGACACTCATCTGTTTTTTTATCAATGTAACACATGGTTACACCATTGACTCATTTGTTTTTCTCCCTCGACGTTCATATTTTAAATGTTGATGCAGCACGGAGCTCAGTTGATTGAATCGGACAATCGAGCAATCGTCTGGCATCCATATGCAAATCCGCTGGTCGACGTAAATTTTTTTTACGCCGAAAAATGTACATTCTCTCTAACAAAGAGCACATCAGTGAATTTAATCGCAGTTCCCTGCTTATCGATATATCATCGCGTCGCATCAATATTTAAATGGCTAAACGTCGACAGTTAATTTACGGCCACGAGTTTGTTTAATAAATGCTATTTAATTAGTCTTGCATGCAAATTTAGAAAACATTAGAAAAAAAACTCTGATTGTGATATTGTGATTTAATAACACAAGGAGACATCAACAAATATGCAAAATAAATAAAAATATCTAAAGTGCATTAATGTCTTTAAGAAAAAAATCATTCAATGTTAATTTTATTACATTTTTTTTTTCAATTTGTGAAAAGAAGAATATAAACTTTAAAACGAAAAATAAAATTAAACGCAATGATATTACATTTAAACAAAAATAGATCTCTGATTTGGCTTATAAATCTTGATCGCGAGCTAACTAAGTTGAGTGAACATAAGTAAATAATTAATTAATTAAAAATTCGACTTGAATGGGCGTTTGTGAATTTGACGACATCATATTTATTTTTGACAGTGATACACCCGCACTTTTGCACAAGGAATCCCTTATTATGGCAGGAGAAATAAACGGATGGGCACGAACTCTCCATGCTGACGGCCAGTGCAACGAACGAAATTTGTTTGATGTCGCGCATCCCATTGTTCGGATGATAGCGGCTGGTGTCAAAACGCTCAATGAACGTACAAAACGCAATTGATAAAACGATATTGATCCGTGTACATGTAACGAGGACCGCTATCTTAGCCCGTAATGAAATATTACACGTGATGACGAATGAGTGTCATTCCTGCAAATGCGGTCAACACAATGCTAATTATAAAGCTAATTATATGAAGTGTATATTAATTATTTACAATTTTGCACATACTAGTAGAGCGATCAATCGACAAATGTGTGTAGATAGGATAGTGAAAGAGAGAAAGATTAATATATCGAGCGAGTCGGACGTTGTATTTTGTATGAAATATTGCAAATGTGAAGTAACAATACAATAATTTTACACTTTTTACTACGTTTCGTCATTACGCCACCTACTCAATCCCGTATCACGCACACCTGCTTATACGCCGATGTGTACTCGCGGCCGCGGGGACGCATCGTGTAATTGCCGTGCTGATTCACGTATTCGCCACCTGTCGCGTACGTGCCATAACGTTGCATTTAAATGCACGTGCGGATTTCGCGGACCCAATAAATCGCGCGGCGCACCGAGCGGCTGGCGTGAGAACGGACATCCTCGCAATCGTAAACCCCCGGCGAACTCGAGGGGAACGAGGGATCCGAGGGTTTGCAAATCGCAAAGCGAAGGGGGGTGAATTGAACGAGGTTCGATTACACCGAGCGATTACACCGATGGTGGAAACGTGGCGGAACGTCGCCGCAGTATTCTCGCCATAAGTGATTTTTTGACACGCAGGTACAAGTGAGAAAGATACCGACCGCGGTGGCAAGACAGATCAGCGAGGACGACGAGATCTCGAGGATCAAGAAGCAGAACAAGAATGCCGCGGCGACCGCTGCCGCCGCCCACGTCGAGACGGTGGAGGAGAGGCAGCCGACTTTGACACCCGCCCCCGTTCATTCGCCGCCAACGAGGGAACTTCCGGAACGGGAACCCGAAGAGCAGCCGGTCAGGCGACCGGCTATCGCCAGGTAAACGAACAAAACTGTTAAACACTCAATCATAAAGTTTTCATTTTATCATAAAAAATTTTAACAAAAATTTTCACGAAATTTACGGCACAAAGTTGGCATACAAATTATTCACGTAGAAAGTTCCACAAAAAATTAATATAAATTAGTATATAAATTAATACTATATTAATTTATAAAATTAATATTTTTGTAAAATATGTATGGTGATTAATCGATTAGATAAACGAGACGACACGATGGTACCCCCTAATTAGAATATTAATATTGACTCGAACGTTGCGTCGAAACGGCACTTAAAAGATAAAAGACAATTGCCACGGGAGCCTCAGTAAAATTTCAGATTCACTCGACTATGATGAAACGACTACTTATTAAGACGGTAAATCAACATAGTCCCCTAGGAATGAAAGACCCGAAGACATATTTGTTCGCGTAGATATTAATCACGCCGGGGGTAACCGCGAGATTCGCAGTCAGCTAACAGCACTCGCGTTATATCGGACTTAAGCGCGGAGTTCGCGGCGCGACGTTGTTACGGCGCAAACAAGTAACTTCGGGTTCTACGCTGCGTTATTAACGTGCTTGTTTGCAATATTGTTGTTCGCGCAGGAGAACTTCAGCCGAAACTCACGCTCCCCCCGCGGCCAGGAGTGCCTCGTCGGACTCGAGCACCGGCTCCGAGAGTTCGGGATCCGGAATACGCAGCACCGGCGCGCCGTTCACGGCCGAGGAGATGAAACAGAAGTACCTGTCGAGGGCACCCCCGACAAGCACGACGACCACTGTCTCCACCACCGCCGGCAGGGAATCATCAAACGCTGCCGCCCCAACCCCGAGAGCGCCGTTTCAGAGTCGTTTTTTAGGCGCAGGTAATTAATCGTAATTGTCAATTGCAATTTTTGCAACACATTTTGTGAAATTAAAAACGGACGAGACGTCCAGTCAGATTTAAAGATAATAGATAATCATGCGATAATTATGCAAAGAAGATTATTTCTTCTGACAGAGGGAGAAGTATTTAAGTTTTTATTTGACAAAATTGTTCTGAGATTGTATTTTTAAATTTGATAATAACCTTTTACTGTAAATTTGTTCAAGACTCTCTTTCAATTAGTCGCGATTTTTTTCCATTGAAAAATGCCTTCTCTTTGAAAAGAGTTTATTTGAAATGAAATTACCGCAATGAAAAAAATTGTTGTTTAATAAATGCATGTGTTATAAAATACAATTATCCAAAAGAGCAACTCATAAAATTCATTTGCATGTTGTAATGAAAAGGATAAGTAAACGCAGAGTTGACCCTTTTATCGTGGCTTTATCGTAGCTAGGATAGGAAACCGCTTTATCTGCGACACGTTCCAATTTCGTTGTGCATCTATTACCCATTGTTTACACGAGGAGAATCGAAAGCACGTCTCTGCTCGGTTCGTACGACAATCCCGCCTAGCGCATCTATTGTATTTCTCAGTACCTAGCGGAAATTGAATGTACAGACAAATTTGCGTTTAACCTTCCGCCTCTATTTCGAAAAACTTAATTCTCACAGAAAATTCTTTTGTTTCGCAATAATAAATTTATATAACATTAAATAAACATAAAATTAAGTAAAATAGTATTCCGATATTTTTTGCAAGATTGCAATATTGTATATAATATAAGAAGATAATTGAATATTTAAATAAATAAATAGTTTATTTGAAATTCTTATAGATATTTTGTAAATACTTTGTTAAATATTTTTAGACATTCGGTCCTTCTTTTCGGAGAAATAGGAATGGAGAAATTTCTTAACTTCTAAATTAATAGGCAAACGTCGTGTTTGGTGGCGTAAAAGGCGTTCCGTGTTCGATCGCAACTGTTCGCGCGTCCATTACAATCGCTCTAATCCCGTATGCGAGGTACGTAAAACCCTACCGCGCGGAGCGGTACCACGAGCTGTGAGCTGTGTAACTGTGCAATTCGCAAATGTAACCGCGCGATATTCGCCAAGCCTCGCCGCGATATTCGCAAGATTCGAAAGCCGAAATTGACGATGTTCGATCGACAGCGCGCGGCACTGTAATTGCGTTACCCATTCAACGCTCTTGGTTAATGCTGTCGCTTCGCTTTTCCGACGCCGTGTCCCACTTGTCATATCTCCGCTCGAAACCTGCCGCGCGTTAAGTCGGAGGCGAGATGTATTCCGCCGTAGGCAAGACACGCGGGCGAACGTGGCGATATTCGCGTTCGCTACCTCTCTCGTTTCCGGCCACCGTCGTCGCTCGATATGATCAGTCCGTTTTCTCGTCGCGTTCCCGTCAACCGCGAACACGTAGGCGAACACCGTAGAGAGAGGAGAAAGACATTCCTCTTCCTGCACCTGAGATTCCATAAACGCACATTCCCATGCATTGCGACAGGTCCTCACCGCTTGTCGCTTACCATATCCGTTGTCCGTGACTGTGTTTCCTTAGCTCAACATACGCGATATTTTCTTGCATTAAGACTAAATTTGATATTCCTTATATGATATATAATAATATCGATCGTGAGATGAAAGGAAACTCCGAGACATATTTGGCTTGAGAACGTACTGTTTATCTCATCCGTTAAATATAAAGTATAGAATATATTTGCGTAATTGTAAATTAAATTTTTTTCTTAATTCTGTTTCAAGTTTAGAATTAATAATGAAAATCATGTCAAAGTGAAATCTGAAATTTTGCAGGTAACCGTGCGGCTCCACCGCCGCCGGTCCAGACGCCGCGAGAGGAACCAGCGGCTAAGAAGAAGGAAGAAGAGGAGGACGAGGACGAGGAGACAAGTAGCTCTTCCGAGGAGACGGAATCGGACACCGAGGAAGAGTCGGAAACGGACGGTCGTCTGTCCAAGTCTGCTCCAGCCGTGACCTCTACCGCTTCTCAGGATCGTCAGAGAAGCGAATCCGCCATGGCTCGCACCGACATCGGGCCTTTGCTCGCTCGCAGCGCAGAAGCTAGAAGAGGAAGCAAGGAAGATTCGCCTTCCACCAGGCAAGTATTCTGACTTCTGAAAAGGAATTTGTATTATAAGCGAAAGGCCTTAATCTTCGACCGATGCAAAAGATGGACTTTGATATCGAAGAGGATGAAAATTACAATATTTATTGAAATCTAACATGTAATCGTTTATTTATTAATTATAAATAAAGCTAATATTACATTTTGTTATGTAAAAATATAAAAGAATAATAATTAACGTTAATATAAAAAAACAATATTTTTTACTTGCTAAATTATAACTGGCACACAATAATATCACATAATAATTATGTAATAGAAATTTAATTCCAGAAGTTGATGATTAATGCCATTTCGAATCTTGATTGATTTGTCATCATGTCAAATACAGATGAAATCTGTGCACGATAACGATTGCAAAACGCAATAATGAATACGATAAATATGTAATATAATAAAATATTGGCAAAATACGATATAAATTAAAAACAATTTTGTACTAGAATTATATTTGGTAGTGGTCTGAAACGTGAAATTAAATCTTTAATTATTCAAGATTTCGAATTTTTCTCTCGTGGAAAATTGGAAAAATTAATTGCAATTTTTTCTTTCTCTACTCTCATTCTTCGTTGATGTATAGCTCTCAAGCAACCGAGTAATAACTTTCTCGTGGGAGTCTCTCTCTCTCTC